TTTCTGTTGATTATCGTCTTCGCATTTCGCATGAAATGAAACATGAGGGTTGATGAGGAGTTCAGTGCCGTATACGGACAATATTTCCATGAAAAGGATGATGAGAAACGGAAGGCAAAAACTAGTGAAGATGTTCTCAAACCAGACGAGGAATCAGGTCCATCTTCCTCAGGATCAACACGTAAAAAACGACAACAAAGAAAAATACATAAACTACTCAGCATTATTATTTTTGGCCCATAATACGTTTTTCTAGTGTATAATCATGTCTTTATAGCTTATAATTCAATGTATTTTGTTCATTACCAATAAATTATATTTTGTCGTATTTTTACTCTTCTTTCTCTACATTTTGAGTACACTTCTAAGCAAGTTAGGATTTTCTGCTTTTCACCACGTGAAAAAGCATCTCATCTTCCATCCGAATCAACCAAAAAGTGAAAATTGATTTTTTGACACCTAAGCCCCCTTTCCGTAGACCAGGTCACATATATATAAATAATGAAAATTGCGTTGTTGTTGTACCGGCTACAACAACCCCGCCCAGATCGGTTGGTATCTCAGTCGTTGTCGTCAAGTTCCACTAACGGCAACCCTAGGAAGCGTGCAGCTTCTGTGGGGTTTGTCCACAGGGACAAGGCCATTAGGGTTGTCGGGTTTTCCGGGCATGCGAAGAGATGTTTCGAGTCGTGTGGGGTCTCTCCGCATGCCGGACACTCATTCGGCACATCCTGATTCAACCTACTCAAGTAGGAGTTCAACCTGCTGCAGTAGCCGGAGCGAAGTTGAGCGAGTGTTGTGCGTGTCTCCCGAGGCAGATGAAGCTCCGTCTCGTCGATGTCCGGGGGTGGTATGCCTAGAACGGCATTCACAGGTCTAGAGTCTACATAACTCGAGACTGAGTCCCTGTGAATGCCGTTCAGGGCCTGTCTGTAAGCTGTCGGGTCCAGAGGTTGCTTAATGAACCTCTGGACTTCGTCCGTCAGTTCATATAGATGCCTCCTGACGTGCCTAGGCGAGGGCTCCTCTGCAAGCAGCTGTCTGCTTGGGTGGCCACTTCTGTGGCTCCCGATCAGGAACTGCTTGCAGAGCATTATATTATGCTCCCTTACAGGGAGCATTTGCGCCTGGCCGTGCAGGTGGTGTTCAGGCGACATCCAGAGGCATCCCGTCGCTGTCCTAAGTGCTGTATTTTGTACCGTCTGTAGCTTCGTCCACTGCGTCCTACTAGTCCCTGGCGACCATACTGGCGCTGCGTAGTTCAAAACCGGCCGGCCTATTGCCTTGTATGTTGCCAGCAACGTTTCTTTGTCTTTGCCCCAAGTACTGCCGGCTAGCGACTTGAGGACCTTGTTGCGGCTCTGTACTTTATTGACAATAGCGGTTGAGTGCGCAGAGAAGGAGAGCAGGCTGTCGAATGTTACTCCGAGTATTTTGGGGTTATTCACCGTCGGAATTGGTGTGTCATCGACGTGAATCCCCAGCGGTAGCCTGACCTCCTTCGTCCAGGTTGTGAACAGGGTCGCGGAGGATTTCGTAGGGGAGAGGGCTAGACACTTTGCAGTGAAGAAGCGAGAAAGTTCGGAGAGATAGCCGTTTACTTTCGAACACAGGTCATCAATTCCATTCCCAGTCGCCATGATCGAGCAATCGTCGGCATAGGAGACAATCGAGACTCCCTCTGGTGGTTGAGGGAGCTTTGAAATGTAAAAGTTAAACAGTAGCGGGGAAAGGACACCACCCTGAGGAACCCCCTGTTTTATTTTTCGCTGCTTACTCGTTTTGTCTCTAAACATTACCGACGAATGTCGACCACTCAGATAATTTGCCGACCACCGTTTGAGCCTCTGTGGGACAGAGGAGACCTCTATATCTTCTAGTAGCGTGGAATGGCAGACGGTGTCAAACGCCTTTGACAAGTCCAACGCTACTAGAATCGTTCTCTCACAGGGACGGTTACGGTTAAGGCCACGAGTTATCTGAGTGTTTATGGCGTTAAGTGCTGTTGTTGTACTGTGCACTTTACGGAAACCATGCTGATGCTTCGCTGGGGTCAGGTGGTTTGTGAAGTACGGGAGTAGCAAGGCCTCGAGTGTCTTCGCTACCGGGGAAAGGAGTGTAATCGGACGATACGAATCTCCTTTGTTGGCAGGTTTCCCCGGTTTGAGCAGTGGGACCACTCTCCCCACCTTCTAGATGTCTGGGATGATGAGAGTGGCCATTGACAAGTTGAGGACCTCCGTTGGGTACGCTACCCCCGCTGGACCCAAATTTTTCAGCATCAGCATGCATATTCCGTCGGGACCCATGGCTTTGGAGGCTTTCGCCTTCCCGATGGCCACCTGAACTTCACCGCAAGTGAAAGCAAGGGGGGCACAAGTTGTTGGCAGTTTGTGCAGCCTTCTGGTCACTCGACGCTTGGCTTTGTCCACCGGAGGATGCAGTATGAACTGCCGGCTAAAATATCTCGCGCATCGCTCCGGGTCCGACGAGGCATGGTCGCCGAAGGAAATTTCGACTCTGTTTTCGTGCTTCGTCGGATTAGACAATGACCTCACGGTTGACCAAAGCTTGCTCACACCAGAGGTGAAATTACAAGTCTTCAGATGCTCCTCCCACTTCTTCCGCTTATGTACGTTTACGAGTTGCCGAATCTCCGCGTTGAGATCCCTGATACGGAGATATCCGGGATCGGCCTGACGTAGGCTATCACGCTCATCGGATAGAACAGCCGCTTCGGCAGGGAAGTTTGGACGTGGGTCCGATATACATCCTGCCGGTATGAAGCGAGCTGCAGCAGCAGTGATAGCCCTGCGGAACTTACGTTCACCGAGATGGACGTCGGTTGGTGTGGGGAGCGCTGCGAAGGTGTTTTCGGTAAACTCCGCGTAACCTTTCCAATCAGCTTTAGAAAAGTTGATATAGGTCCGGTGTTTGGCGGAGGCAAAGTCGGTTGGTTTATCAATCGAGATAACTATGGGTAGATGGTCTGATGCTAGAAACAGCATAGGTCGCCACGTTATGCTGTTTATCAGACCAGCGCTGACTATTGTGATGTCTGGCGAGCTACTGCAGTTAGCCATAATCCTGGTGGGTGCGTCGTCGTTCATTGTGCAGAATGTCGAATCGTCTATCTGCTCAGCCAAGTCTGTTCCCCTACGATCGTTTGACAGGCTTGAGTGCCAAAGATCGTGGTGCGCATTAAAGTCACCTACTACCATACGGTTTTCACCTCTGAGGAGCGCACCTATATCAGGGTGATATCCTGCCGGGCAGCAGGTGACAGGGGGTATTTATATGTTAAATATTTCGAGCTCGACATCGCCTGACCGGATAGCGATGCCCTGACATTCTAGGGTGGTATCCCTGCGGTCGATGTCTGCTTCGATAAGACG